GTTCTTAAGCTGGGGGCCCATGAACTTTTTTTTTTTTTGCTTTTTGGTGAGGCAATCAGGATTAAGTGACTTACCAAGGTCACCCAGCTAGTAAGTGTCAAGTGTCTGAGGCCAGATTTGCACTCAGGTCTTCCTGACTCCAAGGCTGGAGCTCTATCTACTGGGCCACATAGCTGCCCCCCATGAACTTGTTTTACAAAATGTTTTGATCACTGTATTTGAATATGATTCGTTTCCTTTGTAATCCTATATATTTTGTTTTATGCATTTAATAACATTACAAGGTTAGGCATCACTGTCCTGCCAAAGGACCATTAACTCATGTCCTTTGTCCATCTTATTTGACTTATTTAAAAAAAATTTTTTTAATTCATTTTGAACTTAAATACAAAAAGACAAAAAACAAAACCCAACCCAAAACCATATCCATGTACACAGCACAACATAGAGAATTTAATATAAAATCATGAATTTCCATTTCAGCCTGTTTACTTTTTTTTTAATAACTATGTAAAAAATACTACACATTGTTTTCAAAGCTACCCTGCCTTTCTGTGCCTCCTTCTAAGTTTTCTTTTGTTCTCTGCTGTGTGCTTTTTTCCCCCTCTCCACCCCTCCTAGAGAGGACTACAATTAAAGACACACACACATATGTAAGTGTGTAAAACCATACTATACACACTTCTGTTTATCAGTTCCATGGAGGTGGGCAGCATCTTCCTTCATCAGTCCTTTGTTGTTGATTTTAATATTTCTGATGGTCAAGATGCATTAGTCATTCAGAGTTGTTCTTAGGACAATATTTCTGTTACTACGTACACCATTCTCTTGGTGCTGCTCATTTCACTTTTCATTAGTTCATGCAAATCTTTCCATATTTTTCTAAAAGCAAGTAATTCATCGTTTCACATAGTAGTATTCCATCACAATCATGTACCACAATTTGTTTAGCCATTCTCCATTGAAGGGCATCTACCATTTTTAGCCACTCTGAGAAGTATATCTTTTTTTTTTTTTGTGAGGCAATCAGGGTTAAGTGACTTGCCTAGGGTCACACAGCTAGTAAGTGTCAAGTGTCTGAGGTGGAATTTGAACTCAGGTCCTCCTGACTCCAGGGCCTGTGCTTTATCCATGGTGCCACCTACCTGTCCCCTGGAAGATAATATCTTAAAGTTATTTTAATTTGCATTTCTCTAACCAATAACAATTCAGAGCATTTTTTCATGACTACATGTAGTTTTGATTTCATCATCAAAAAAATGCTTGTTCATATCCTTTGACCATTTATCAATTAGGGAATGATTTGTATTCTTACAAATTTGACAAAATTCTTTATACGTTTGAGAAATGAGACCTTTATCTGACTCTATAAAAATTTTTTCCCCAGTTTTCTACTTTCCTTTTAATCTTGGTTACACTGGTTTTATTTGTACAAAACCCTTTTAACTTAATGTAATTGAAATTATCCATTTTATACCTCACAATGCTATTTCTTGTTTGTTCACAATTGTTCTATCTATGTCTGATAGGTAGTATGTTCCATGTTCTAATTCTTTCCTAATATCTCCCTTTATGTCATGTATCCATTTTGATCATGTCTTGGTAGGTAAATGATTTAAAATACTGGTCAAGAACTGATGGAATCTGAATGCAGAGCGAAGCATACTATTGCGCTTTTTTTCTTTCATGGTTTTCCCCTTTTGTTCTGTTTCTTCTTTCACAACATGACTAATGTAGAAATATGTTTACATGATTTCGTATGTATAACGTATATCAGATTGCTTGTCTTCTTGGGGAGGGAGAAAAATTTGGAACTCCAAAGTCTTCAAAAAATGAATGTTGAAAATTGTCTTTACATGCAATTGGAAAAAAATAAAATACTATTACATTTTTCTTTTTTAGGCAGTTGGGGTTAAGTGATTTGTCCAAGGTCACACAGCTAGTAATTGTCTGAGGCTGAATTTGAACTCAGGTCCTCCCGACTCCAGAACCAGTGCTTTATCCACTGTATCACCTAGCTGCCACATACTATTATATATATATATATTTTTTTTTTTTTTGGGGGGAGTGATGCAGTTGGGGTCTAAGTGACTTGCCCAGTCACACAGCTAGTGTTATATGTCTGAGGTCATATTTGAGCTCAGGCCCTCCTGATTCCCAGAGCCAGGGCTCTATCCACTGCACCATCTCGCTGCCCCTCGTACTATTGTATTTTTTTAAAAAGATATTTGTCTGTGCATACCCTTTGACCCAGCAATAGCACTTCTAGGGCTATATCCCAAAGAGATCAAACAAATAGGAAAAGGACCCACATGGACAAAAATATTCATAGCAGCTCTTTTTGTGGTGGCAAAGAATAGGAAATTGAGAGGATGCCCATCCATTGGGGAATGGCTGAGCAAGTTGTGGTACATGAATGTAATGGAATGCTATTGTACTATAAGAAATGATGTACAGGCTGACTTCAGAAAAACCTGGGAAGACTTGTATGGTCTGATGCTGAGTGAAGTGAGCAGAACCAAGAGGACTTTGTACACAATAACAGCCACATTATGCGATGAGTAATATTGTTAAACTGAACCCTTCTCAGCATTACGAGGATCTAAGACATCTCTAGAGGCCTTGGGATGGAAAATGCTATCCACATCCAAAGAAAGAACTATGGAAGTTGAATTGCTATCACTTATTTTTACCTTCTGTTGAGTTTTGTTTCATCTTTCTGATGGTTCCTCCTATTGGTTTTAATTTTTACTTACAACTTCACTAATGTGAAAAGATGTTTAATAGGAATGTAAATGTAAAGCCTAATCGGATTGTGCACCATCTTGGGGAGGGTGGGGGGGAGGAAGGGGGAGAAAAATTGTCAACTCAAAAGCATATGGAAGTGATTGTTGATAAATCAAAATAAATTAATAAAATAAAAAAAACTGAAAAAAAATATTTGTCTATGCCCAATCTTATTTGACTTTTCAAAGATCTAATTGTTAGAGTGGTTTAGGCCTGAGTCAAGGAAAATCTTCCTCACAGCAACTTCATTTCTCTTTGTATCCATACCAGCACCTAGCACAGTGCCTGGCACACAGTGGGCATCCAGTAGTTTGTTGACTTGAGGATAACAAAATCTTTTCCACAGGGCAGCCCTTCCCATGCTGGAACTCGATTCTCATCCTCCCCTGCCTGTTTTCTTTTGTTTGGAATAAGCATGCCTGGTTCCTTCAATGACAGGGGTCTGGCATGCTCTCAAATCTCCCCCCCCACCAGTCAATCAATAAGCATTTTTTCATCGTTTTCTATGTGCCAGACACTGTGTTGTTCCCTGGGCATAGGCTAGGAAAGGGCCGTGGCCTTGACCAGTGAATTCATGGTTAGGAACTCCTGGCTGAGGCAATTCCCCCCACCAATGAGCACCCACCCATCCAGGGTTTGTTGTTGAATTCTACATTGGAGGTAGTGAGATTGCCGAGACTAGACCAGAGCAGTGTCTGTAGGAACAGAGAGGAAGGATTCTTCAAAAGGAGAAATCAGCTTAACGACTGGCTAGATTTAAGACCTAATACTGGATCTAGGGCATGAAAGTGAGCAATGATGTTATAGAAATTTTATCTGTTTCAATCAGCATTTATTTTTGTTTTGTTTTTTTGGTGAGGCAATTGGGGTTAAGTGACTTGCCCAGAGTCACACAGCTAGTAGTGTTATGTGTCAGTGGTCACATTTGAACTCAGGTCCTCCTCTGACTCCAGGGCTAGTACTCTACCCACTGTGCCACCTAGCTGCCCCTTAATTTTCTCTCTTTAACAACTCCTCCCCCCAAAATCAGGGGGGGGAACTCAACCCTCTTCTAACAAGCAAAATCAAGGCACAACAAAATTTTTTTTTTGTCTCCATCAGGATCTATCTTAAGCCCATCACCTGTAAGGAGGTGGGGAGATACTGCATAAAAGACAGGCTCACTGTAAGGAGATAGAAAAGATTTTGCCACACTTAATCAGTATAATTTCATAATGAATTATCATAATTTATCTTTTATCCCTGGAAATATTAGTAGGAACTTCATATACTAGAACATTAAATACTGCCCCAAAGCAGGGAACTGTTTTAAGCATGAAGCTTAAAACAAATAAATGCTTCTGAGAATCTAGTGTCCTCAATCACATAAAAATAAAACAAAAAACTCAAACCTTATCTTGGCCTCTAGGAGAATAACAATTAAAATATCTGATTTTTAAAAAAAGATATTTTTATTTCACCACAAAATATTAGCTTTGGAATGAAGCATTTTCCATAGTAATTCTAACAGTGTCTAGTTTTTTAAAGTATTTTTAAAAATCCTTAGAGGTCTTTCTTGTTCAGCTGTCTCAAACTCTTCATGACCCCATTTGGGGATTTCTTGGCAAAGGTATCATAGTGGTTTGCCATTTCCTGCTTCAGTTCATTTGACAGATGAGGGAACTGAGGCAAACAGGGTGAAGTGACTTGTCCAGGGTCACACAACTAGTAATGTCTGAGGTTGCATTTGAGCTCAGGTTTTCCTGACCCCAGGCCCAGCACTCTGTGCATTATGTAGGCCTTTAGAGATCATGTAATCCTACACCCTCATTTTACAGATGAGGAAATTAAAGATCACATGTTAAAAAGCAGACCTGCCAGAAGTCAAACTGGGTATTAAAAAGCAGAGCCAGGCTTTAAAACTAGGCTCTAGACTCCAAGTCAAGGAGTCTACAAAGGTGGTAACAGTGTACCTTTCAAGCCTTCTTAATTGGCAAAAATCAGTCTCGGCCAATTTTTTTACTGACCTAACATATACCTGCTACTTGTAACAAGTGAGTGCTGACAGAGTACATGGACAAGTACTGTATAATACAAGAACAGATTTGATCCTTATTATTCTGGTACCTAAACTACAAAGTAGCACTTTCTGTAATCTCATCAATGTCTTATAAGCACCTATTTTAAAACCACTTTTGTGCTCCTAGTAATATTAACTGACCAAAAGAGAAGAGTTGAAAAGCCATTCTTGCTGCTCTTCTTTAATGAGGAATCCTAAAGAGAAGACACACCCAAAGGGACTGAACACAGATCTTACTGAAGGAACAGCTCAAAGGGAAAAAGGCACTGAGGCGTCAAGAAGAAAGCCCTGGTGACCAACATGGTCTCTCTCTCCCTTTTATGGCCACAGTTACAGCTGGAGTCAGAGAAAAGACTCTAACATGTCCTTTGTGCAGCCTGCAAAAAATTAAACACAAAAAGATAATGGAACTCTTCAGTGAGAGGGTCGCCATGGGGGGCAACGCTGACTTTGGGAGGAACATCTATGTCCATACACATGATGGAAGGAACTGCTTCCTGGACTTTGAAAGGGCCAACGATTTTAAGGAGTTCCTGGGCATTTTCCAAGATTTTATAATGGAAACCAGCTCGAAAAGCAACACATCTAACATTTGTCCATTCACCATTAACTAGCGCGTAGTATTAAGCACTTACTATGTGCCAGGCACTATGCTAAGGCAAAACAGTTCCTGCTCTTAAGTAGCTCACTGTCTAAGCTCTTCGAGAGCAGGTATTGCCCTCTTTGCTTTTTTTTTTTGTATCCTCAGTTCAGCCCAGAGCCAGGGGCATAAGAAGTCTTTTTCTTTGGACCCCCAGCCTTTTCAAGCACCTGGCACATAGCAGGTAGGCATTTAATAAATGTTTGCTGACTGCTTAATAAATACTTTATCTTTTATCTTCAGTGTGAAGGGCTGCTTGTCAGATGAAGAACTGTGAATGGACAAATGTTATGACTTTTTTTTGCTTCGATTATTAAGCCTTGGGAAAATTCCACTTAAAAATCCCTGGAACCAGGAAAAGTCCTTGGCCCTGGGAGGAGACAAACAGAATGAAAGTTTCTAGCAATTCGAGGAAGGTCACCGAGGCTGGATTTTTTTGAAGGGGTGGGGCTTAGAATTAAGAAGTCCTGAGTTAAAATCCCGTCTCAGACACTGCGTTAGCTGTGTGACCCTGGGCCAGTCCCCGAACTCTTAGCCTCAGTTTCCCCATGTGAAAAACGGGGCTCTCAGCGAACGGCCCCAAGCGCACGGAGTCTCCCGGAGGAGGGAGGAGGAAGCGGGCTCCGGGGGCGGGGGCGGGGGCCTGAGCTAGGGCGCGCACGCGCACACCGACGCGCACACGCACCGTGGCTAGGGGCGGAGGGCGACGGGAGCGGGAGGCCGTCCCCCTCAACAGAGCCGCGTGCGGGGCCGGGTCTGCAGCTGGCGCTGGCGCCGCTTCCGCTGGCTGTTGTACAGCTTCTGGGCGATCTTCCGCTCATGGCCCGCGGGCACCGGCCGGTTGGTGCGGAGCTCCCGCTCCCGCCGGGTGCGGCCCTTGCTCCAGCCGGGCCCGCGGATCGGGTACTCCCGCAGGTTGTAGTATTCGTAGCAGTCGTAGTGCTCCTCCTCGAAGCTCGTCAGCGGCAGCTCTGCCAGTGACTTCTGCCGGGTCGGAGGCTGGAACCGAGGAGGCGGTAGGGGCGGTGACAGTTGCCGCTCCGCTTCCCTCTCCATCCCGGGGCGCACTCTTGGGCCCCGGCGCTCCTCGCGCGAGTAAGAGGCCCGCCACGTGACAGGAGCCCGCGGCGGCCATTGGCTTAGCCGAGGGGGAGGTACCTACGGTTCCCGTCCCTCTCCCTGCGTCACAGAGCGCGCAAACCAATCGTGGTCAGGCTATGTCACCTGTCTTGCCCTAAAACCCCTCCCACCTAGCCACAAGCAAGGAAACTCTCCCTAGTAGATTAACTTGGTGGCTTGGCCCCCGCCCTCGTAGAACTTTGAAGGAGCAAGGGTGCTTGCGCTCCACGTGCGCTCTCTTCTCGTTATCCTCTCGCGGGAGTTCCTACAGCCTAAAGATGTGCCCGAACTACCGATCCCAGCATGCTTAGCTAGGGGGCTAGAGGACCTTATCCTTAAACCTGGTATACAGAAGGGGCTTAGTAAGTGCTCTGTTATCCGTCCGTCTGTCCACTTTGTCAGTAAAGTGATCAGTCTGTCCACCTAATAATAATAATAATGACCAAAGCTATTTATAGAGTGATGTAAGGTTTGCAAAGAGCTTTAAAAAACATTACCGGACGTATGCGAAGTGCTTTGCAAACCTTAAAACGCTATATAACATAAATATAAAGTGCTATATTCATAAAATACTAACTGTAGAATCTATCGATAGTTAATCTTCGTATCTACCATGCGTCCAATAATAATAGCACTTTGATTGACAAAGCACATGTTAAATCTGTTTAATGACAATAATAATAGCTAGTATTTATATAGTACTTTAAGATTTGTAAAGTATATCTCTGTATTATATTTCTGTGTATTATATTTACACATTTATCAGAATATCTTTCTAATAATAAGAGCTAGCATTTATATATCATTTTAAGATTTGCAAAGTATATTGCCTGTAATTAATTGATTTTATTGACTATTTCTATCGTTCTGTGTGTAACCTTGAATTCCTCAGCAGACCCCCGCCCCCTTGAGGATCCGTCAAACAGCTGTATATTCAGGTTATGGTGTGATAAGATGCCATAGGCCAGAGGGTCAGAGCTCTGTGGGGTCATCGATATAACCCGACCCCTTCCTTTTACAGATGAGGAGGACACTGAGGCAGGCCCTGGGCATCCCTGAGCGTCCTGGGATCATAGCTCCATAGCTGCAATGGAGCCCCAGTCCAACCTTCTCATTTTACGCTCACTGAAATGGAGGCCCAGAAAACTTTTAGTCCAATGTCACACCGCTAGTTAATGAGGAGTGAGAGCACCTTGTTTCAGATCCCATCTCTGCTACTTAATGAAACCTGTGTGACCTTGAGCAAGTCACTTTCTCTCCCCAAGCCTCAGTTTGCTCGACTGTAAAATGAGGGAACTAGCCTAGATGGCCCTGGGGTCCCTTCCAGCTCTGGATCTTTGTAGTCCTGTCTGTGACCTCCAGCAAGGCACTTACTTTTTCTTGGGCTCAGTTTCATTTGCAAAATGAGGGGTTGGGCTAGCTAAGGTACCTTCTAGTTCCAAATCTGTAATAAAATATGATTCAAAAATTTTCGAGGCGAGACTAGAACTCAGTTCTCCTAACTCCCTGCCCAGTGCTCTTGAGGATAATTGTCTCAGTACAGTTCTATAATTGAAGATATCCAAGCTGTTGTTTAGTGACTCTTCTTTGTGTCTCTCATCTATTTTCTTAAAACAAAAACAAAAATGTGTATTGATATCTTCTGTCTTTTTCACATCACCAAAATTTCTTCTGGTATTCCTCTCCCATTCCCTCAGGGCTATTCCATACATGAAATGCCTTTTTTTTTTTTAAAGAAAAAAGAGAAAAGCAAATCTGCAAAACTGATCACTTCATCTAAAAAGTCTGGTAATACATGTAGTTTCCCATTCCTTTGGACCTCCCACCCCTGCAAAAGAGTGAAGTAGAGGCATCTTCTCAATATCTCTTCTTTGGGGTCACAGTTATTCTTTATCATTTTGCTATGTTCACTTTTGAGTTGTGTGTGTGGTCTTTCTCTTTACATGTTTGTCATGATTGTGTATGTTGTCATCTTGTCTCAGCTTCATCCGAGTTTCCATGCTTCTCTGTACTCACCCGGTTCTTCATTTCTTGCAGCCCAGTACTTTTCTCTTACGTTCATGTACCACAGCCAGCCATTCCCCAATCAATGGACAGTCCTAGTCTCCATTTCTTCTGCACTACAAAAAGTGCCCATCCTAAATATTTTGGCCTGTATGAGGACTTTCTTCTCCTCGATGACCTCTTTGGGGAGTAAATTCGATAGTGGAAACTCTGAGTCAAAGAGCAAGCATATGTTAAAGCATATCTTAATCACCTTATTTGCATAATAACAAACTGCTTTCCCCAATGGTTCCTGTTGATTAACAGCTCCACCAAAGACATGCCAGAGGGCCTATGTGCCCACAACACCCCTTCCCCCAACACTGATTATTGCCATGCTCTGTCATCCTTGGCAAACTGTTAGACGTGAGGTGACATCTCAGGGTTGTTTGGCTTTTTATTTTCCTTCTCTCTTTATATTTGATCTGGCTTGCTCCTTTATGTGGCTGTGTGCCGTTCTTTTGTCAATTGTTTGTTCAAATCCTACAGCCATTTATCTATTAGGAAATTACTCTGGTTGTCTGTTTGTATGCATATGTAATGTAGTGGCTCCAAGAAGCCATAACATGCACAGTGGCCACCCCAGGGTAGAACCATCTCAGCAGACTGGCTAGACCAGGTGGAGGGTAAGCAGCCTGTCGGTGACTTAGGGGGACGGCTGCCTCAAGCGTGTGAAGACTTCCCCAGCAGAAGGGGCAGAGGTGAACACTGTTCAAACAGGCCGTGAAGGCTGAAGCAGATATTGTGGAGGCTTAGAGCTTGGTTGGACGGAGGACGCCGACGTTATCCACCGCGTCCCAGGCCATTGCCAGTCCTCTTGAGGTTTGTCCTGCCTTGTTTGGACAAGAATACATCTCCTGTTCATAGTGGTGAAAAATATATAATTTATTTCTCTCCCAATTTTTCTGTTCTTTTATTGATTTTCAAATTCACAGACTTACTTCACCTATCACCTTCTCACCCCATGAAGAGCCTTCCTCAGAGCCAGGAGAACCAGGGTTTAAGTTCCAACCTCTGATACTTTTGGCCTGGTGACCCTGGTGAAGTCACTCAACCTCTCAGCGCCCCCCAGGCAACTCTGCAAGACTTTAAGTTTCTGAGAAGGCGCCAAGAATTTCCTCATGTGGGAGTTCTCTATGCCAATGAAGTCACAGGTCCAGTTCCAGTGTCGCATTGGATGAACTCAACTTAGAAAAGTCTTGCATCTTTCAGTTTCACCCTGAAAAAAATTGAGGTCAGCTTGGACCCCACTTGAAACATTTCTCATACCATTTCATAACTGGTGTGCACGTACTGAGACTCTCCGGCCTCAGTTTCCCTATCTGTAAAATAAGAAATCTAGATTAGATTTGAAGTCCCTTCCACTTATATTAATGAGAGTTTAATTTATTGTACTAGGGTAGGGTTAAGTTTCTTTTAAATCTAGGCCCAAGAAGACATGTGCAGAATTCATGAAAAATAGTTTTTCCTTTGCTTTCACCAGAGTCTCCCTTCAATGCCTGAAGTTGTCCTTACCTTCTTAAAAGCCATTGAAGCTTAGCTTAGTGCTGGCACTGAATGGCAGGAACCAAGACACAAGGGCATCAGGCCTGGGAAAAGATGGAAATGCTGGGCATCTGAAGACCAATCCAGGAGGCCCCAAACCAGGTGCAGGTTGGCTGAAAGTTAAGGAAGTTTTCAGCCACAGCAACCCACCAGGACCACCTGCTAAAAGATGGAGAAAGGCAGCTAGGTGTCACAGTGGGTAGAGTGACAGGCCTGGAATCAGGAAGGCTCATCTTCCTGAGTTCAAATCTGGCCTTAGACACTTACTAGCAGTGTGACCCTGGGCAAGTCACTTTACCTTGTTTGCCTCAGTTTCCTTATCTGTCAGATAAGCTGGAGAAAGGAAATGGCAGATCTCTGCCAAGAAAACCCTGAATGGGCTCATGGACAGTCAGACAGGACTGAAATGACTGGACAACAACAGAAGATGGAGAAGTTGCATTCTGCAACATGTTGACTGCAAAGGGAGCGCCCACTTGGGTAAAATCTGCCGTCCTTGATGTATTTCAGCTTTTGGTATTTGTGGCTGCTATCGACAGGACGTGAGGATTTTATCTAATGTGGAAAAAACAACAGCTTATAAATGGGCCATGGCACATTTACCAACTATAAACAGGAATAAAGGAAGCTGTATGGAAGGTGTCAAAGAGAGTAGGACTGAAAATGGAAGTGGGCCCATTGTGCTGGGAGACCCAGGTGGGAAACATAGTGGTAGCTCTCAGTGCCCAGAGGGTCTTACTGACTCCAGGTCAAGCTGGCCTGTGGGCTGGTGGTACTTCTATAAAGTTAAGTGAAATAGGGGAAGACATATGTCCCCCCATGGTTGGGTAGACTCCTTGGGAAGAATGGATATAGATGGGTGTGAACTGGCATTGCACAGTGCGAGAAGGTGTGTTGGTTGTGATTGGCGCTGAAAGAGGGAGGACCCACGACGATGTGGTTACAGATGTACTGAACATGGTTCTTTTTGTTCTCCAGGGGCTAGAGAAAGTGCTAATTCAGGGCTGTGCTAAGTCCTCTGAGTACAAACACCAACAAGCAAGACAGCCTCTGCCCTCAAGGAGCTTACTCTCCAATGAGGGAGGATCACTGATGGAGGGAAGCTGCAAAGGAGAGGAGGAGGAGGGGAGCGTCTCTGGCAGGTGTGCTAGAGACATGTCCAGAAAAGGGACTAGAAGCCTGGATGGCTCTAGGGCTGAATTAGAGTCTCCAGTGGGGGAACATTGGAGAAGATGGCCAAGGTGGAGTAGGCATGGCATGGCAGGAGAGGGTCAGGGCCCCCAAGGGGACAGCAGTCCCTGCTTCTGGGAGACACCCCTGTCTGGGTCTTCCTACCTCTAGTTCTAGTGTGGTCACTCTCCTTCCTAAGGCCAGCCAATGTTCCCATGGGATCACAGGTTCTAGGGCTGCGAGGGACTTTCAAGATAACCTTGTTCAGCCCCCTCCCTGTGCAGAGCCCAGACCAAGGCTGTAGCCTGGAGCCGAGGGCAGCACAGATGAGGAAAGAGAGTGAGGGAATGACTTAATTTCCCCTGGGTTGCAATAAGCAGCCAACTTATGACTCAAACTCAGGTCCTCTGCCTTTGAGTCCCGGGATCCTTCCTCTAATACCCCGTGCTGCCTCTTCAGTGACTCAGGAGGTGGTTCTCATTTTAAGGTAGAAAGCCTCTGAGTTCCTTAGCCGCAGGAGGTATCAGCTGGCAGTCACCCACCCAGCCTGGGAAGGAGGCCTGGCACAGAACCTCGGGCTGACCTCAGGGCAGATGAGTCAAACTCCCAGCCTCTCTCCTCACCCTGCCCAACACAGACTTCTCTGGGAACAAGATGGGCCCGGGGTGTGCCTGTTAAAGGAGCAGGAGTGCAAGCTAATCCGGGCAGGTACAAGGCTTTTGCTAGAAAAGTTGGAGGTCTAGTCTTTGCTCCCTTAGGCCAGCAGCATGGGGCAGGAACAGTTACCTTGCCAGCGCTTTCAGGTTCTCCCGTCAACACCTGGTTCTGATGATTTAATTGCTCCTTCGGTTGAAACTACTCTGAGGAAAATATGAAGTATCAGAGAAGGTTCCCCCACCCCTTTCAGGTTGTTTTAACCAGCACATTCTTCCCTAGAAGTGGCCGTCATCGCTGTGGGAGCGGTCTTTCCCAAACTGACTGAACATCATCAGTGCCAATTCAGAGACATCTTTCTAGCTCCTAGTGATTCTGGAGTCCCAGCTAGCAGGATTCTAGGGCCAGAGCTGGAAGGGATAGTCGAGGCTGTTCAATCCAGGCCTCTCCTCTTACAGACGAGGAAACTCAGGCTCGGGAAGAGAAGTGACTTCTGGGATGAGATCCAGAGATGGATCTCATTTTACAGATGAGGAAACTGAGGACCCTGGAGGTTACAAGACTTGCCCAAGGTCACACTTGGTGGGAGGGGAGGGGGTCACATACCCAGAAGCCCTCTGGGTCCAGAGCCGGTGCTTCCCCACCTGTACCAGGCTGTCTGCAAAGCTACCCATTTTTTATTTTACTCTCCTATTTGGTGCCATATAATTAGGAGTGGGGATAGTGGCCTACATAACATTGTGAGAAGCAGTGCAATTTTGGTGACTCGTTAAAAGGACAAGTCCTAGAGGACTATTTTTAATAAATCACTGAAGCCTTGCTTCTATCCACATATCCCGACTCCCTTTGACTCAGAAGGAAAAAAGTGAATCCAACTGAGTCACATAGAGGCTCCCAGGCAAATAGAAAAGTGGCTCCAAGCCATTTGTGTGGACTCTAGCCAGCCATTCTTTGCCTTGAACTTGAGCCGCATTCTGATGGACATTTCTGAGTTTCTGTTGAGTAATTCACTTTGGGTTCACACCCTGTTACTGCCTGGGTTGGGCAGCACCGTGCAGTCTCTTTAAATTAAGGAGTGTGTACAAATATTCTGGCTCCATAAACAGAAACACTTCCCCTCAGTATTTAGTCACTATAGGACTAAATGTGGGGGAATAGAATTCCACTGATCAAAAAGCCTTGATTAGGCTCTTGTTATGTGTTTGGCACTGGGGAAGAAACTGACCTTTCTCACAGTGAACTCACCTTCTAATAGGGAGATGACAAGGACCTGTATATAAGTAAGTAGGTACCAAATTCCCCTGAATAGAATTAATACCGAGCAATTCTATAGTTGGAGAGGGGAGGGCAGCCTCTGCTGGGGGAAATCAGGAAAGGCTTTTTGGAGCAGGTGTTTTGAAAGGATGAGAGGGTTTCTGTGAAGTGGAGATAGAAGGCGTGTATTCCAGGCGTGGAAGGCCTTGGGAACTGAAGGTCTAACAATAAAGGCAAGACATACCTCAGACTCTTTTTAGGAATGAGATGAAGGTAGGTAGCATACACTACTCTCCGCTTTCTGCTTCCTGAAATGCAAACGGTTTTGGTAAAAGTCATTATCAAATCACTGTTCAGCGGAA